TTGCCTGTTTTATGTTTCTTTTCCCTTTTTCTTACTTTTACTCATGTGATTCAACACTACCTTTATTAGGTTAGAGATTCTAAAGTAATCTTTTATTCCTTTAGTGGTTATCTTCCTTTTTGTTATGCTTGCATGACTGGATTCATACGATTCTACCTTTATTTGAAAATAATAGGCCATTGTTTCTCTAACCAAGTGTGGTAAGCAGAATTCTAAGATGGCCCCCAAGAGTCCTACTCCTTGATATACACACCTTGTATAACCTCCTCCCCTGAGAGTAGTCAGGACCTGTAACAAAGGAGTAATCATTCTCTTGATTAGGTGACATTATGAGACTACTGTAGCAGACAGCTGACTGACAAGCAAGCGACCATGTTGTGAATCGTGTGGCTAGAATCTAAGGGCAGTTTCAATGAGCTGAGAGTGACACCGGGCCAACAACCAACAAGAAAACAAGGACCAAGTCCCACAGCTGCAAGGAACGGCATAAGGTCAACCACCAGTGAGCCTGGAAGAGGCCCCTATCCTCAGGCGGCTTCACAGCACCAGCTGACACCTTGATTTTAGCCTGTTAAGACTCTAAGCAGAGGACTCTACTCATCTGTAGCTGAATTTTTAACTCATGAAAACTGTTAGATAGGAAATGTGTAGTGTTTCAAGTCAATAAATTTGTGGTAATCTGTTATACAGGAAAAGAAAACCAAGACACTAAAGACACTTCGTTTCCCCCAAAGTATACCATTTCTTTCCTCCAGAAGGATGAGACCTTCTACTGTCTACTTCCTTTCCTCTTTGTCCTATACTTTCTACTGTAAGGACTCTCTGGAACATTCTTTGTATTAATGCTAGGGCCACTGTAACAAAGTACCACATACTGAAAGGCTTGAACAGAAATTTGTTGTCCATGCCTCTGGAGGCTACAGATCCAAGGTCAAGGTTGGTTTCTTTTGAGGGCTGTGGAGAAGAATCTGTTCTGTGTCTCTCCCCTAGTTGCTGGTAGTTTGCAACTTTTATTTTTATGTTTATGCTTTCCTTGGTATGTAAAAGCAGGACTCCATCTCTGTCTTCATCTTTACATGACTTTCTTACGTACCTATATCTCCCAATTTCCCCTATTAAAAGGTTGCCAGTCATACTGGATTAGGGCTCCACCTGACTCCAATATGACCTCACCCGAACTACTTACATCTATTAATATAATGACCCTATTTCCAAATAAGGGCACAGTCTGAGGTAGTGAGGTTAGGACTTTAACATGAATATTTGACACAATTCAACCCATAACGCTCTTATATCTTGCCTTTGTCCTATTTTTTAGGTTTAGCTGAGACAGTACATTTAAACATATTCCATGCACTACGTCGTCTCTTTTCCAAGAGCTCTTATGTAAAAGTTGTATACATTCCTGAATTTTGTTGTTCAGTTGCTCAGTTGTGTCCGACTCTTTGCAACCCCATGGACTTCCCTGTCCTTCACATCACCCAGAGCTTGATCAAACTCATGTCCATTAAGTCAGTGATGCCATACAACCATCTCATCCTGTTGTTCCCTTCTCCTCCTGCCTTCAATCTTTCCCAACATCAGGTTCCTTTCTAATAAGGCAGTTCTTTGCATCAGGTGGCCAAAGTATTGGAGTTCAGCTTCGGCATCAGTCCTTCCAATGAATATTCAGGGTTAATTTCTTTCAGGACTGACAGGTTGGATCTCCATGCAGTCCAAGGGACTCTCAAGAGTCTTCTCCAAAACCACAGTTCAAAACCATCAATTCTTCAGTGCTCAGCCTTCTTTATAGTCCAACTCTCACATCCATACATGACTACTCGAAAAACTATAGCTTTGACTAGACTCTTGAGAGTCCCTTGCAAGAAGATGCAACCAGTCCATCCTAAAGGAGATCAGTCCTGGGTGTTCATTGGAAGGACTGATGCTGAAGCTGAAACTCCAATACTTTGGCCACCTCATGCAAAGAGTTGACTCGTCAGAAAAGACCCTAATGCTGGGAAGGATTGGGGGCAGGAGGAGAAGGGGATGACAGGATGAGATGGCTGGATGGCATCACCGACTCGATGGGCATGGGTTTGGGTCGACTCTGGGAGTTGGTGATGGACAGGGAGGCCTGGAGTGCTGAGATTCATGGGGTCGCAAAGAGTTGGACACAACTGAGTGACTGAACTGAACTGAACTCTGCATATAAGTTAAATAAGTGGGGTGACAGTATGCAGCCTTGATGTACTCCTTTCCCAGTTTGGAACCAGTCTGTTATTCCATGTCTGATTCTAACCGTTGCTTCCTTGACCTGCATACAGGTTTCTTGGGAGGCAGGAAAGGTGGTCTGGTGGTACGGTTATGTTCCTGAACAGTAAGATTTAATTTAGTCTTCTTTTTTAGCCTTAATTTACATATTTCTTTATTCAGGCTGTGCTGGGTTGTCACTGCTGTGCTTGGGCTTTCTCCAGCAGCAACACACAGACTCCCAGTTGCGGTCGGTGGCTTCTATTGTTGCGGAGCACAGACTCCAGAGCGTGCAGTTCAGTAGTTGTGGCTTGCGGGTCTAGAGCATGGGTTCAGTAGTTGTGGGACACAGGCCTAGCTGCCCCATGGCCTGTGGGATCTTCCCTGTCCATGAATAAACCCATGTCCCCTGAACTGCAAGTCAGACTCTTACCCACTGGACCACCAGGGAAGCCCAGTCTCTTTCATAGGAGGTTCACTAATGTCTTGTTTCCTTTCCTCTTTATAGAGCCACATCTAGAGATCTCCATTCCATTCCATTTGTCTTCAGGTTAGAGTATTTATGTTCTTGAAGTTTTACACAAACTTTAATATTCTTTTAATAATCTGAGAGCTGTATTTGGTCTATATATATAGGACTCTTGATTTTCACTCCTTTTCTCTCAACCTGTTTATGCTTTTTCTTTCTTACTATCTTCTAGTTTTCAACTGTTGCAGGTAAGAAGACTGATTCAGTCTGATTATTCTCTCTATATAAGTTGTTATTTTTGCCTAGAAGCTTGTGATTTTTTTTTTATGCATCATGTAATGTCTAGGTTTCTGTTTTCTCCTGAATTCAACTGGAGTCCAGGAGAGCCCTTTCAATACGCAGATTGAATAATACAAATTTTCCTTTATTATTGCTTATTTGTTATTCCTTTTGTATCTTATTCTTTTTCCCCTTTTTAAGCACCTAGAATTCCACTGGAAGGTCACCTGATTGTATTTTCCGTTTCTCTTATCCTTCCACTTTTCCTGTCATTTCTCATTTTAAAATGTATTTTATCTGTGCTTTTAGATATTCTTGCACTTGCTTTTTCAGGCTATTAACTCAGGTCTCAATATTTATACTCTTATTCAACTCATCTAGTCAGTTGTTTAATCAAGAGTTTTTTTATTTTTTTCTATAGGAAATGTTTGGGCTGTCTTAAATGTCGAAGTGTTCTTATTTTTATTTAGGTGTTCATCAGTGTCTTCTAGCAGTGTTACTTCTCTGGTTGTATATTCTAATATTTCTTCCTGATTGTCCTCTTTCTAACTGCTAAGTCTCCTGAGGAAAGTCAGCATTTTTAAATTTAATGAAACAGAGTTGTTGAACTGTATGATAAAGCATGAACCCAGAAGGTGCCAGAAGCCCAAGTGACTTTTAGCCCCATGAATACGTAGGACAATGTGGTCTCTACCCCAGCTCAAGTCCTATGCTGAGGTCCCGCGAAATCATTTCTGTCATTTAGTCTACTGCTGCCTAGCAGCCTCAAGGGCAGGGTACACCCATTCCCCTTATTTACCAGCGTCTTTGCCTTTGAGGGAGTAGAGAGCCCCAGTACACACACACAAAGAAAATGTGACCTTTTTCCCACTCATGAGGATTCCATACATTTCTGAGTGTAGGTTCTTCTCAGGGCCCAAAACTTTCTAGTCTCAGCCCCCGGATTCCTCTTCTGATTATCCAGCTGCTTGTCCAGTTGAAGGAGAAAGACTATCATCAGTTCTGTCAGCACTTCGATGCACTCCAAGGCATTAGTACTAGAGATGCTATAGTTATCTACTGAATATTCATTCTCCCTTTTAGAACTCCAGTTCTACTCCAATTCAATTTGAAGAGGCAGTACTACACAGCTAAAAATACTTACCTCCTCAAATTCCCTTGTAGGGATGGGTAACCTTCTGACTCTATTCTGGCCAATGGCTATTGGGAGGGGCTTCTGAGAAAACTACCATTTTCCTGACAAAAAAGGAAATATTCTGCCAAGAGACAGTTATTTTGCCCTTTACTCTTCTTTTTCCTGCCTGGAACACAGACTTGAAGCTTGGAGGTAGAACTGACATTCTTCAACCATGAGAATGAAAACCAAACCCGAAGGCTGGTGTGCCAGGAATCCAGAGGAAACTTTATCATCGAGTTTCTCAAGCAACTATACCAGTCTAGTTCCAGATTCTTATTATGAGAAAAATAAACTCCTCTTTAGTTTAAACATTGTAATGGGGGTCTGTTATATGCAGCCAAACACAATTCTGACTGAAGAAGTCCTCACGTTTACATAATTGATTATAGCTTTAGCAGCCATTTGAATTTAGGCCATTTCAATCAGAAGTGGCCAAGAGCCTGAAGGGAGACAGGAAGCTGCACTTAGATTGCCACGGTCCCTGAAACGTCTCAACACTGAAATGTGGACTGAAGTTTAATCCATAACATTCATTCACTTATCAGAATTCATTAACTGTCTACTATGTGGCAGGGACTGAAGTGGGTACTGGATACAAAACAAAGACCCCAACCCTGGCATTTTCTTGATGAAAATTTCCTTTTTTGACACAGGCTGGTTTTTTTGTTTTGTTTTGTTTGTTTGTTTTTAACCTTACTCCCATGGTTCAGAGAAGCCATGAGTGGGAAGGTTTTGCCTTTAGGGGAACAAGTTACAATGCTACAATGTCTTTCTATTATTTTCAATATTATAAAATGGAAACAAGCAGGTTGATTTGTAACTCAAAGAAGTTCCCCCAGTTACCTTCTTGTATATCGTCCTCCAGGTCTGCCAGAGTTGGTGCGTTAGGAAGTGAGTACATGGAAGACTGGTTGAGTTGAGTCAGTTTTGAGATGCTGTTAATTGCCATGCTGCCCAATGGAATGGTATGTTCTATGGGAATGTTAACAAAAAGAATTAAATGGAATAATAAGCTAGTTACCATGGTCAACAAAAGGGGATCTGCTTGACTAACTTAAGACCAGTTATTATTTGATCCCAGGGCTGAGGAATTGAATGGAAGTGGAAAGTGGAAAAAAGAGAATCAATGTACTACATGCTCTGAAGCACCAGACTTTCATCTTTTATGCAAAAAAAAAAAAACACCAAAAAGCAGCTGGGGCCTTGAGAGAAGAGTCCCCACTGCATGTGTTAGGGTGGAGCACCAAAGGAAATTTTAAGAGGGGATTCTCAAAAAGAACTGTGAATTTTAGGGTTGGAGCCTGTTTGAAGATCAAAGGACTGAAAAATATTTTTGCTCCTGCCATCCAGAATGAAGGATTATACTTTCCAAAGTAACAGTTTTAATTATATAACTGACCACTTCCACCCTTCTTGTCATAAGCTTCCACTGTGGAAACTATCTCCCCCTTTACTTGTCATTTTTTACTCAATGGAGCACATTTTCTTGAAAGCCTTCTTGCTTAGTTCCAGTTTTCTGTGATTCATGTGCACAAAAAAGATGATCTATTTTTCTTATCTGTCATACAGAATCTTTATAATACAGGTGCTGGGCATGGGGTGGTGCACTAAGACTTCGACATATGACTGCTAAAATACTGGAATGACTGCAGCTGGTGTGTAGCCTGGAATGTCCAAGAAGAAAAGACCACTAAGGAAGGAGGTAAACATCAGAAGCTGCTTGTGCTAGGTTTTCTGTTAATGATTTTGGCCATCCAGTAAAAAATGGGTATGGCAATGGGGATGAGGAGAAGAAAATAGTTTGGGAGGATTAAGTTAGAAAAAGTATTAATAATGAATAGGGACTCATAAAACCTTCATGAAATGTTTCTTTTCTGAAAGGGTTAGCCTGTCTCTATGATGTGGGCAAGGGAGGATCTGACAGTCACTCCAGCCTCTGGCCACTCTCTTTTGGTGACACCATGGTTCCTAGACCATCAGAGGTAATGATTCTAAGTTCACGTTAAATGCTTAGGAGTAAGTTATAAAGTGTGCCTCTGGTCAGCAGAGAGAGAAACAGGAAGGTTTGGAGAATCACCAAAAAAGTGAACTCAGGAGGTAGACGCAGTGAAGGGTCAGTTCTGTAGATCTGCTGGGCTGCAGAAACTACTCATCTTAGTGGCAGCAAGAAGAGGTGCAGGGTGATTCCCAAGGACCAAAGCAGATCTGGGGATGTGGCTGGAGTCTGGAGATTATAAAGTCCTCTTAAGGACAGGGAAGTCTGTGTCAGGAATGAGCTGTACCCCAGTGGCTAGATCAGGATTTCCCAGCCTATGAAATGTTACTAGTGCTTTCACCTAAATGTGTAGCACTGACCTTCATGCCTGCATAATGCCTGAATCTCTCACATGTACCAAGTTTTGAGTTCCCACATCCACAACAGAAGTGTTTATCCTGGATGTATTAAATACCAGGATGATAACCTGTGAACTGCGGTGGCGGATGACTTAGACTGGGGAGATGTGAGGGAGAGGTCAGAGCCCTGAGATCTCCAGCCTGCTAGGAATGAAGGGAGGAGCCCCTCTTATGACCACCAGAGACTGTCATTGCAGCTCACCCTGAGGAGACAGCTCCAAAGTGGACTCCTCCAAGGCTTTAATTTCAAGGTAGCTCAGGACTTTTGTGTAGTGCTTAATTTCCCCCAACATCTCAGGCCAATAGGAAGCCTCTACTTTAGCTTCTGGTTAGGTACTGGGCAGACCCTGGCACAGGGGCCACAGAGGTGGTGGGTGAGGCAATGATGGCACAGGTTACTGCTGGGAGATGATTACAGCATCTGGATACCCCCATATACTGTCCATATTCAGACTCCTGAGTTATAAAGGCCCCCAGAATTGTTCCCCTAAGCTCTCAGCCAGGGAAGTGTTCCTTCACAGCAAGAAGGCTGACTCACCATCCAGCTTCACATTCCACGTCATGTGGAAGCCGTTGGTCATCAGGTAAAAGTTCTTCAGATCTTCAGGCAGCACACAGTTATTCTTCTAGAACCACAGAGCAGCTGAGTGTTAGGTCAGGGCTGAAGGAGGGTGTAGGGCTATGCCTCAAAGCACGTGGGAACTATTTCAGATCCCTAAAACTGAGTAATTACCTCTAAAACTGGAGAATTCTGGGATGAGATGGCCACAAAGCAGGCTTCTCGACTCATGTCACTGACACACAATCCACAGCTATATACTGAACAATAATTCCCTCTGAGAGAAACCCAGAAACTATCTGCGTGACTCCTGTTTACCAAATTTAAAGTCTGTGTGCCCAACGCACAGTGAGGCCCATCAATACTAAAACATTAGAGAAAGATTACAGATTCATTAACGAGATGCATGGCTCACAGCCTAAGAATCCCACAGTTTCTGAAAGCTTTCAGCAGCCCCTTTAAAAGCAAAAGGTGAGGGCTGGGCGTGGTGAGTTGTTTCAGACTTCTTGTTCAGATCCTTGGTTCCTGAGGTCAGGTCATGATCAGGTAATGATGTCCCTGTTAATCTCTACCAGATGAATGTTCTGTCCTGACCAGGAAGGGCAAAGTTGCAAGGCACAACTTTCACCGTCCAAGGTCCTAGTCCTGGCTAAGAGGAGGCAGATCTCAGCTGGCAGCTCTTCAGGGCCAGGTTCCCGCCCAGCTGTCATCCCTGAGGAAGTAAGGCACCCAACCCAACTGGCCCTCCGTCTCCTCAGGCTGCCCAAATGGGGAGGCCAGGTGTCAGACTGTGACAGACGGTCACTGCTAGTAGACAGCAGAGACAGCATGTGGGAAGAGGGTCACTGCTGCCTCGAGGCTGGGGCCAGGGCTAGTAGAGGGCCTTACCGAGGGCTCTGGAGCCCTGCAGGATGTAGCCCCTAGTCTGTTTCCTGGGCCCTTCAGCTCACCCGCTGGCCCAAGGCTGGGTGAGCTGGAGGGCCTCCGGAAGGCGGCCTGAATCTGCCTCTTACCTCACTCTCCACCTGATGACCACCACGCTACTGATCACTGACTGAATTACTTCCCTAGTGGTCCCTCACTGACAGTTACCAGTGGGCAGGGCCTACTGTGGTGCTGACCAATAGCTGAGCAGGACAACTAATGGTCTCTCACTGACAGTTGGTTGTGGGCGGGACCCACAGAAGCACTGAGCAACGGCTGAGCAAGGCCTGCTGCCCAGTAACAGGGTGCAGAGCAATGAGGCCCAGCATGGCCACCTGCCAAGGGCTGTGCTCATCCTGCTCTGTTACATACCCATTGGGTGAATAAGAAGAAACTTATACTGAAATGGGTATGCGAGGCTGATCACAATCTCACCATAAAATCCACTCTTGGAAGGGTAACACACAACCAGGAGAGGAACTCACAACTCCCAGATTCTCCCTGAGCAAAGGGTTTGGACCCTGCATGTGACACCTCAATTTTTAAGACTTCTATGTGAGAGATGGGCCTCCATAAATCCAGTTGGGCTTGGATCCAAGAGACTCACAAGGCCACAGTGAGCTAAGAAAGAGTGTTCAATGGGCTCCTATGGACTTACTGTGACAGCAGGATGAGCACAGCCCTTAGCAGGCAGCCATTGTTGTCTCATTACTCCACACTGCAGCTAGGCAGCAGGTCTTGCTCAGCCATTGGTCAGACCTCATTGGTGCCTCAGTAGACACCCCCCAGCCCAAGCAACCAACTGTCAATGAGTGACCGTTAGGGAAGTGATTCCAGTCAGCTTTCTCACCTTTTGCTTTTAAAGGGACTTGCTGCAAGTTTTTAGTAACTTTGGGGTCTTAAGGCATGAGCCATCCATCTCCTTGAATGAATCTGTAATAAACCATTCTCTGTTCCAAACTTGAATATTTTAGTATGGATGGGCCTCACTCTGCATTGGGCACACACACTTGTGATTCAGTAACATTACTATGGATATACCCCCAGGGTCCAGTACAGAGACAGTAGAACTAAAATGCCCAGTCTTTTCCTTAAAGAAGCCTATTTGCTTATCTTAAAAGCTTTGGCCTGAGGGGCAGGCTTCTAATTTTAGCACACAATAAGATGCCAACTGTAATCCTCTCCAGAGACCAGAGAGGCCAGTGGGCACCATACCATCTTCATGCTCTCCTTCTGCTCATGGATATCTTCTGGAAAGGAGCTTATACACATGCCTGGCACCCTAGGGGCTGCCCAGGGGACACACTTGACGGCCTGGCTCTGCTGGCCAGCACAGCTTATGTTCCCAGGTCCCAAAGCACTCTATAAACAAGCTACCCCACCAGGGCCCAGGGAGAGGCAGCAGATTGAAATACCCAGTATTTCTGTGAAAAGAGGCCTGTTTGGAGATCTTAACTGGAGTCTGAGAATCAAGTTTATAATTTAACATCTATGGGCCAACTAAAACCCTCTCCAGAGACTGCAAAGGCCAGTGGGGGCCACCTTTGCACTCTCCCTCTGTCCTGCCCCAGGTCACCAGTGTTTCTAGGAAGGAGGCTGTGCAAACCTCTGGTGCTCCAGCTTTTGTGGCTGCTGCTCAGAGGACACATCCCTTGATAACTGGCTGTGGTGAGCAGCAAGGCTTGTGTTCATGGTGCAACAGGATGGTAGCAAACAAAGGAAAAACAGTTCTTAACGTGCTGTCCACCTAGGGCTCAGTGCAGAGGCAGCAGACAGAATGCCCTCTCTCAGTTCTCCCTGAAAGAGGGTGTATGTGCATATTTTAAGTTACTGTTTGAGTGCCCAGTTTCCAATGAGCCTGCATCAAGGTGCTGAAATTCTCTTCTTTGGGACACTGACAGGTCATATTATACTCTCAACTACTGGGAGCCACTAAGAGCAAAGTAGGCTGAACATGCACAAAGGTCTGATAGACAACCAAGAACCAGGGCAGGAATAAAAAGTTTCATCTCTTACATAAGGTCACTCCACTTCTTCATGACTGGCTGTTGTAGCTAATGCATTGAAATCAACAGAGTGTCAAGAAAGATGAAGAAACAGAAAAATGTGTTCCCAGTGAAAGAATTAGATAAAACCCCAAGAAAAGACCTAATGAAATTAAGATAAGTAATTTAAAGATGCTCACAGACATCAGGGGGACAATACATGAAGAAAGTGAGAATTTCAACAAAAAGAAAATACTAACCAGAAATCACAGAGGTGAAGAATATAACAACTGAGCTGAAAAATTCAATAAAGGCATTCAACAGCAGACTAGATGAAGTGAAATAAAGGATCAGTGAACTAGAAGACGGGGTACTAGAATTCATCCAATCAGATCAGCTTTAAATAAAAAACAAAGAGAAAGAGTGAATAGAGTTTAAGAGATTATGGAACAACATAAAGCTAATCAATACTATACACCTTTACAGGGATATCAGAAGAAGAGAGAATGGGGTAGAAAGCTTATTTGAAGAAATAGTGGCTGAAAATTTCCCTAAAGTAGGAAACAGATCCAGGAATCCCAGAGAGTTCCAAAACAGAAGACTCCAAAGAGACATTATAACTAAGTTGTCAAAACTTAATGGAGAACATCTTAAAAGCAGTAAGAGAAAAACAACTTGTTATATACAAGGGAGCCCCCATAAAGCTGTCAGGAGATTTCTAGGCAGAAACTTAGGCAGGCCACAAGATGGTGGCACAATATTTTCAATGTGCTTGAAGAGAAAAGAAAACGTGCCAACCAGGAATATTCTACCTGGAAAAGCTGTCTTTCAGAATTTAAGGAGAAATAAAGTTTTCCATACAAGCAAAAGCTGAGGGAGTTCATCACCACTGGACCTGCTTTACAGTGAACACCACCAGCTTTACAAATGAACATTTGAATGCAGAGTTCCAAAGAACAGCAAGGAGAGATAAGAAAGCCTTCCTCACTGATTAGTGCAAACAAATAGAGGAAAATAATAGAATGGGAACTAAGATCATGGCATCTGGTCCCATCACCTCATGGGAAATAGATGGGGAGACAGTGGAAACAGTGTCAGACTTTATTTTTTTGGGCTCCAAAATCACTGCACATGGTGATTGCAGCCATGAAATTAAAAGACGCTTACTCCTTGGAAGGACAATTATGACCAACCTAGATAGCATATGAAAAAGCAGAGACATTACTTTGCCAACAAAGGTTGGTCTAGGCAAGGCTATGGTTTTTCCAGTGGTCATGTATGGATGTGAGAGTTGGACTGTGAAGAAAGCTGAGCGCCGAAAAATTGATGCTTTTGAACTGTGGTGTTGGAGAAGACTCTTGAGAGTCCCTTGGACTGCAAGGAGATCCAACCAGTCCATCCCGAAGGAGATAAGTCCTGGGTATTCACTGGAAGGACTGATGCTGAAGCTGAAACACCAATACTTTGGCCACCTCATGCGAAGAGTTGACCCATTGGAAAAGACCCTGATGCTGGGAGGGATTGGAGGCAGGAGGAGAAGGGGACAACAGAGGATGAGATGGCTGGATGGCATCACCGACTCGATGGGCATGAGTTTGAATAAACTCCGGTAGTTGGTGATGGACAGGGAGACCTGGCATGCTGCAATTCAAGGGGTCGCAAAGAGTTGGACATGACTGAGCGACTGAACTGAACTGAACTGAATAGAAAGGGAAAGACTAAAGATCTCTTCAAGATGATAAGAGATACCAAGCGAACATTTCACGCAAAGATGGGCTCAATAAAGGACAGAAATGGTATGGACCTAACAGAAGCAGGAGATATTAAGAAGAGGTGGCAAAAATACACAGAAGAACTGTACAAAGAAGATCTTCATGACCCAGATAATCACGATGGTGTGATCACTCACCTAGAGCCAGACACCCTGGAATATGAAGCCAAGTGGGCCTTAGAAAGCATCGTTATGAACAAAGCTAGTAGAGGTGATGGAATTCCAGTTGAACTATTTCAAATCCTAAAAGATGATGCCATGAAAGTGCTGGCACTCAATATGCCAGCAAATTTGGAAAAGTCAGCAGTGGCCACAGGACTAGAAAAGGTCAGTTTTCATTCCAATCCCAAAGAAAGGCTATGCTAAAGAATGCCCAAACAACCACAC